TTAAGAGTGTCATGCTCTACCAACTGAGCTAGGGATTGAATTTCTATCAGTTTTCTGCAGTAAACCATGAGCACGCCTAACAGCACCCTTTGAAGTCTCCATAAGGAGGATGAGGCCCCACAATGACAATTCCACCAGGAGTATGACAACAACACTAAGCTATAAAACACCACCTAAGAATCGGCTTTGGACTACAAACTGCTCAGAACAATTTCGAGGTGGCTACCTGAGATGATCCAGCCTAGCAGACTACTCTAGCCAGGACTTGAAACAAGCCCTGCACTTTCCCATTATATATAGACTGGACAAAAAAAAATGGTATAACTACCTCTATTTTCTTTTCAAAACAAGAACTTTGAATCTAATTTCCTTTAACTGTTTTTTTCCTGACCATTACCAACAATAACTTGTAACTAACCCCCTAAACAATTTCAAATATCCATAATCCATTGAATGACCAAAAACCACCCACCCCACCTCTTGGGAATGTGGGCATCATAGTCTTAAATTTACATCCTGCTGTCTGGGGGTGACAGTATCTTTATTGGATCCTGAGAAGGTATGATAGGATAAAGGGGTAGATTATTGACTCTACTCTGAAAATAAAAAAGGGAGGATATATTTATATGATAAGATAAAATAGTAGATTATGGAATCTACTTTTTAGAAGCAACTACTAATTTTAAATGTTTTACATTGGATTGGGCTTTTATATATTGGATACAAATTTGAGATTAATTTTGTAGAACATACTGAACATATATTTCTACTCTTTTTCAAGGTATTGTACCTATACAACTCATTTAACAATGTAATGCGAATTTCTAGTCCTTGAAAATTATTATTACCAACTGTTTAGGATAATAAGGACATACAGGAAATTAGTCATCTATTATAGTCAAACTTATAGTCACATTAGGTAGGTTTTCAAAGTCAAAGAAAGGTATTTTAGAAAGGTCATCTTCAAACACTTCAGAGATCTACATAATATGGCATTTTAGATGTTTTAGTAACCTAGGTTCTTTTTTGACAATGAGACATGTCTGTTCCTGACAGAACCAATCTACTTCAGAGAAGATGATGGGCATCGAAGAGACTCCACATGGAGGTTACTTTCTTTGTGGCAAAAGTAAGTCACTGGACAAGAAAATGTTCTTGCCTTGCCTGCTGACAGTCTGCTGTCCTAATTGAACAAGCAGGACACACAAAAAAGTGACTGCCAAACACTGTCACTTCAGAATGTGTCGCTGTGGGGTGGGCTTTGAAGTCTCATATATGCTCAAGCCATGCCGAGTGTTTCAGACCACTTCCTGTTGCCTGCAGGTAAAGGTGTAGAATTCCCAGTTCCTTCTCCAGCACCATGTCTGCCTGCCTGACACCATGAGGCACCATGATGGCAATGGACTGAGCTTCTGATCTGTAAGTCACCCCAGTTACATGTTTTTCATTTATGAGAGTTAACATTCTGGGCGGTGGTGGCGCACGCCTTTAATCTCAGCACTCAGGAGGCAGAGGCAGGTGGATCTCTGTGAGTTCGAGGCCAGCCTGGTCTACAAGCGTTAGTTCCAGGACAGATTCCAAAGCTACAGAGAAACCCTGTTTTGAAAAAAACAAAAAAACCAAAACCAAAGGGGGGGGTGCCATGACCGGGCAGTGGTGGTACACATCTCTGTGAGTTTGAGGCCAACCTGGTCTACAGAGTGAGTTCCAGGACAGCCAGGACTCTTTCACAGAGAAACCCTGTCTCGAAAAAACAAAACAAAAACAAACAAACAACAAAAAAAAAGAAACGAAGAAAAAAAGAAATCCTGACTATGACAGTTATGTAGTGAGTTTAAGGCCAGCCTGGGCTACATGAGATCCTGTCTCAAAGAGAAACATATATTTCCTGACTCTTTTTAAGAATTTGTTTTGGGGCTGGAGAGATGGCTCAGCGGTTAAGAAGACAGGCTGTTATCCCCAGAGGTCCTGAGTTCAACTCCCAGAAACCACATGGTGGCTCACAACCATCTGTAATGAGATCTGGTGTCCCCTTCTGACATGCAGATATACATGCAGACAGAACACTGTATACATAATTAATAAATAAATTTTTAAAACAAATTCTTTTTTTAGACTTTTTAAAGATTTATTTATTTATTTATTATGTATACAGTGTTCTGTCTGCCTGTATGCTATAGGCCAGAAGGGGGCACCAGGTCTCATTACAGATGGCTGTGAGTCACCACATGTTTGCTGGGAATTGAACTCAGGACCTCTGGAAGATCAGCGAGTACTTTTAACCTCTGAGCCATCTCTCCAGCCTCCTTGAGGAATTTTCTTTTTTGAGGTTCTAGTGAGAGTATGAGGTGTGTTTCAGCAGTTTTGAGATTATTAAGGGGACACACACACACACACACACACACACAAAGTAATCGCAAGAAACGGGAATCTCAGAGACCAGACATTCTCCAAACCACACTTCAGCTGGGTCCTGTGTGCCCTGAGGTCACTTCCTCAAGCCCCCTGTGCCTCACAGTGGCATCTTCTGATTGCAGACCACAGCCGCAGGACACACACAGAGCTTTGGTTTCCTCTAAGCCTCTCCTGCTCACAGAAGCAGTACTCTGGAAGGAAGCCGCTCTGCTGCCAACCACATCAGCGAACTCCTGGCTCACTCAGTAATCAAAACAATCCTACACATTTTAGGGGCCCAAAAGATGGCTTAGCAGTTAAGGGTTGGTTCCTAGCACCCATTTTGGAGGCTTACAACTGCCTGTAACTCAAGTTCTAGGGAATCTGACACCCTATTCTGGCTTTCCTGGGCACTCGTATACTGTCTTAGAGTTTCTATTGCTGGGAAGAGACACCATGGCCACAGCAACTCTTATGAAGGAAAACATTTAATAGAGATGGCTTGCTTACAGTTTCAGAGGTTCAGTCCGTTATCATCACGACAGGGAGCATGGTGGTATGCAGGCAGATGTGGTGCTGGCTACATCTTGATCAGAAGACAACAGCAAGTCGACTGAGACACTGGGTGGTCTCTTGAGCATAGGAAAGCCCACCCCCACAGTGACACACTTCCTCCAACAAGGCCAGACCCACTTCAACAAAGCCACACAACAGTGCCACTCCCTATGAGATTATGGGGGCCAATCACATTCAAACCATCACTAGTGTTCAGAGAATGCTCAAGAGGATGTGGTGGGTAGTGTTGACTGTCAAGGGGATGGGGTTTAGAACGATGCTGGAGCCAAACAAACCTCTGGGTATCACTGTGAAGCTGCTTCCAGACGGGGTAAGCTGAGGTGGGAAGACCCATCCACACTAACTATGGGTGCACCGTCCCATGGATTGGCGTCCTGGACTGCGTAAAAAGGAGGAAGCGAGTTGAATGCCAGCATTTCCCACTCTCTGCTTCTCAGCTGCAGGTGCAATGTGACTGGATGTCTCTTGTCACTACGCCTTCCCACCGCGGCGGCCTGTACTTAGGGATGCGGCAATTTACCGTAGCAGTGTGAGAGAAAGGCTGAGAGAAAAAGCATGCAGACACACATACGCATTCTTAAGTGAGTAGCATAGGCTGCATGAATTTCCATTTAAAAATTTTTAATTTATTTTTTAATCTTTCTTATGTAGGAGCCTTGTGGGGAAAGGCTCTCCCATTCTTTCCAGGAGGCAATGTTAATAGGATCTTATATCAGAGTTTCTCTTGTGGGTCACCATAGCTCCTCTGTTCAAAATATCAAGGGTGTGTGTGTGTGTGTGTGTTAGGGGTAAAGGTGCTTGCCGCCAGTCAATCCTGACGAACGAAGCTCCATCCCTGACACCACATGGTAGAATATGAGAGAACGAACTACGGACTTCCACAATTTTCCTCTGACCTCTATACTTGGACTTGGGGCAAGAATATTCAATACCCCACTCCTGCTCCCTGCCCCCACATACACACATAATTAATAAATAAGTAGGAGGAAAAAAACCAGTGCTCATGTCCTCCATGGAGGATAGAGCGCCCCCCTACAGTCTATTAGATACACAATATAAAAATTCCCCGGGGAGGGTGGGTTGCAATCAAATCCTCCTCACATCTGCATCCTTCTGGAGGCCCATGCATTTTGTGACAGCTTCCATCCTTTGCAGGCCGCCCTAACTGCAAAACCGGCGATGACTGGTCCAGCTTTGCTTACTCTTCTCAGTCTGGTCTTCTCAATCCCGCTTTCTGTTTCTCTCTTTCAAGGCCCCTGGGATGATCTGGAAGCCACCCAGGAAATAGCCACATTCTGAGGGTCTCTCAGATTAGCATCCTGAATTCCATTTTGTCTTGTGAAGTCACACTGTCTGTAGGAGGACTTGTTCCGGTCAGAGAAAAGCAGCCGCCATTTTCAGGAGCTCAGTTGTTGCTACTTGGCAAGCCACCGTCAATAAGGGGCTACTAGACTGTTGACAGTTTCTCAACCAAGATCCAGCCACTTCTTCCAGTCATTTGTATGTAATTCTGGCCTTACTTGCGGGCACTCAGGCTGGAAGGTTTATCGAAGGGAGGTTCCAATGTAGACATTTATGGGGGGATGGGGAGGTCACCATCTGTGCTGCGTGCAGAACTTTCAGTCTGGCTGCTTTGGGGGTCATCCACATTCTGCAGACAAGTCCATCACAGTCATTGATTTCCCCGGGGCTGAACTTTGGTGGCATTTAAAAAGCTTTTAAAACAACAACAAAAGATAATGCAGGGAAGAAATCGCGCTCGTTTTAAGAAATTCAAGGAAAAAAACAAGGCCTTATCACTGGAAATTGCGAAATGGGGCTAAAAGTCCTTCAAATGAAAGGAGAAGCCGCAAAAACAATTTAAACCGGAGCGTTGAACGCACAACCCAGCAGGCGCCGGAGGGGGAGGGTTCGCAATTACCTGGGTCCTTGGACCGTCCAATTTCGGATCAGCCAATCAGAGGGCGAAAGGCGTGGCCTGGCTTGCGATTGGTCCAGTGGGGAGGCTAATTGCGCAAGCGCCCTGGGTTCGCGGCACTCGGGACTCAGCGCGTGGGTCCTAGTCCTCGTTGTCGCCATGCCCGCCGACATCAGCCAGTGGTCCGGGCCGCTGAGCCTGCAGGAGGTGGACGAGCGTCCCCAGCACGCGCTGCGGGTCGCCTACGCCGGGGTGGAGGTGGACGAGCTGGGCAAAGTGCTGACGCCCACCCAGGTACGCGCAGGCCTGGGGAGGGGGAGGCCCGGGAGCAGCAGGACGGAGCAGGCCTCGCACCCGGGGCCTCCGGGCTCAACCTCTGCAGCCCCAACTATGCGACAGGAGTCCCGCCCGATAGCCGGAGGCGCCTTATGTAACCTTTGTTAACGGTCCAGAACTTGCAACCACCCCAGCGAGCGGCCTGCACTGTGCAGGGCTCCAGGGCCAGAGCCTTCTTCCCATTGCCTGTTTTGCTGTTGGGGGTGGAGGTGAGATGCTGAAGCCAGCGGGGGCTCCAAGCTCAGAGAAAGTAGGTTTAACTTTTCTCTTTGTGTATTTAGAGCCCAGGGTTCGGGATGGTGACTTGGAAGTTTCCTTTGGGAGACCTGGCCGGTTTCCATCGTCCCAAACTTTGTACGTGTCCTTGGGAGCTGTCATTTTCTGAGCTCTTGAACTTGTTCAGTGAAGGCAGATTACACATCAGCTGGCCACTGTATTTAAAGACATGGTGGCTCAGGACCCCAATAACGTAGAGGAGGACCTAGTGCCACGGTTAATAACGTGGGGATAGTGTTGCTAAGGCTGGTGTGTTCATGTGTGCATGTGCGCGCGCGCGCGCGCGCGAGAGAGAGAGAGAGAGAGAGAGAAAGAGAGAAAGAGAGAGAGAGAGGACCTCACTTGAGAGAAAGAGGGGTAGGATCTCACTTGTGTAGCTCTGGCTGGCCCGGAATGAAACTCACTAGGTGACCAAGCTGTCCTTGCACTTCCAGAGATCCGACTGATTCTACCTCCCAGGTGCTGGGCATTAAAGGCGTATGCCACATCAGTTTTTTTTTTTCCTGGCTTTTAAAGATATGTTTTATTTTTACTTATGTATATGTGAGTGAGAGCAGGGAGTTGAGGCCGGAAGAGGCATCAGGTCCCCTGAAGCTGGAGTTGCCGGCAGTGAAGGACCATCCTCCCCCACCCTCCACGGGTGCTGGGAGTGTCCTTTGCAAGAGTTCTAAATGACTGAACTGTCTCTTCCAGCCCCAAGGTCCAGGCTTTTTAGTCGAGGTCACACTCAGGAACTCTGTTAATCTGTTGTTGCACCCCCGCCCCCACATGGGTGCTGGGAATGTCTGTCCATTGCAAGAGTTCTTGATGGTTGAGCTGCCTCTCCAGCCCCAAGATTCAGGCTTTTAGTAGAGGCCATACTTGGGAACGTCCAATAGGTTAAAATACATCTATTTTAATATGTATCCTTAGTAAAAGAAGTCAATAAAAAAACTAGTCCTCATGGTTTACCTTTTAGGGGTATAAGCCTGCAAATACTGAGTTTGAGAGCATTTTTGAATTTTTAACCTCAAACCGGTTCCTTCCTACAGGTTCAGAATAGGCCCAGCAGCATTTCGTGGGATGGCCTTGACCCAGGGAAACTCTACACCCTGGTCCTCACCGACCCGGATGCTCCCAGCAGGAAGGACCCCAAATTCAGGCAAGTTGAGGAAAAGATGGTGAGAGGCAGTCATCCAGATGTGACGTGTTTGGCAGAAGTCCCTTGTTAGACAGGAACACACAGACCTGCTGGGGTTACAGTTTTGTAACTGTACAAACTGTACAACTGGGGGTACAGTTTGTACCCTGTACAAACTACAGGGTTTGTATTGCTGGTTAGGAAGCCACCTGAGCCAGATCGCCAGCTCCATAGGTGGGGTTTTCCTGGCGTCCAGCTCTCTCACTCGTGTATTCTTCCCGGCTGTACCACCTGCCTTCGCAGCTCAGCGTGGAGCAGGTGCTTGGTGCACACCTGTCACCTGGCGCTCAGAGTCCCCCGTTCTCTCTCCCCAGGGAGTGGCACCATTTTCTGGTGGTCAACATGAAGGGCAATGACATCAGCAGCGGCAAGGTCCTGTCCGATTACGTGGGCTCTGGGCCTCCCAGTGGCACAGGTCAGTCAAGGCTGCTTCGGGGGAAGGGTGTGAGAGGAGACTGTGGGTGTTGGGGCAGTGGCCGGGGGTGGTGGGACTCTGGGGCTGCTGGCTGCTGCTGGCTGCTGCTGGCCCAGTTTATTTCCAAGCCTCCCCCTTGGGGAGACACAGGTCTGCTTGCTTTCCCCTTTGGGCCAGTCCTTTCCAGTCTGTCTCCAGTCTGTGGGCTTGTGGGGTTCTGATTGGGGTGCCCCCTGTGGATCCACTCTTGGACTCCTAGAGAGCTGCATCAGTGTGCGATTTTTGGCGGTCCTGAAAAACCACAGCCAGGGCCCTCCAACACTTTAGGCAGGCTCTCTGTCACTGGGCTGTCAGATGCCTCCAGCAGGCAGGGGCACAGAAAGCAGGCCGTGCTGTGGAAGCTCGGAGTGGGGTTCTGGGGACCGGATGTGGGGCAAACAAAGTTGAGCCCCTTTGGTCTCTGTCTAAGCTCTGCTTTGTCTGATCTTGGGAGTTTCTGATTCTATAAACAGGAAGTGATCACTGTTTTCACATAAATGCCCAAAGACTTCCTTATAACTCTCCCTTTCTTCCCCAAATGTGGTTGGGTACCTTGAAAAGGCTTGGAAGACTGTAGTGAGCCTCATCGATGACACCCATGCACACATGTGCATGCACACTGTAGTGACTCACATCAGACACACACTTGTTTTGTGTTTACACGGACAGTGTGAGTCGGTGAGATTCAGCTCTGACACTGAAATTCCCTAACTCGCACAAACACCCCTGGAGCTGGTGGGAGACACGGTTGCTGCCCGTCGCCTGTTACACGGTGTTCCCATTCGCTGGAACGAGGCCACGGTGATGATGGCTGATGCGTGGCAGAATGCGAGTGTTTGTGCATTGTTCTGCCCTCCACTGACTGGAATACTGAGTACCCAGGAAGGACAAGGACCACTGCTCATGGCTCACAGTGTGGCCGCTGGCCCAGCAGCTTCCAGGCGGCTTAAAGGCCCCCCACGTGTTCCTAACAGGGGAGTAAAGAAGCAGATTTCCTAGGGACTCTTCAGGTTCTCCAGGGCACCAACAAGAGCAGGTGATTTAATTATAGACGGGAGACGCTGGGGAGCAGAGCGAGTCTCTCGGGTCAGAGCTGTGCTCTGTTTTGAAGACTAGACACCCCAGCAGCTCTGGGAGATGGGGGAGGGTTTGAAGTTTAGCTTGCAGAATAAACTGCTGGATCGTGAAGTTTCGGGCAGTGGAATTGAGGCACACACATCCGGACACTCCAGGAAGATGAGCGCTCTTCCCGTCACCCCAAAGATCAGAGGTGGCTTTGTTCCTGTGGCGTCCCTAGGGCTCAGCATTTTCTGCCATCCGCCTCCATGAGTTGTTTTGGTCACCACGCTTCGCATGGGCAGAGCATGCGGGACAAGTGGCCTTGATGTGAGAGTCATTTTGTTTCTGGTTTCCAGTTCATTTCCTTTCGTTAATTAGTATTCCCCGTGCCCGCGTGCCTCGGCCTTCCTCTTGCCGAGCACTTGGGCTGTGGCCATGATGTGGGTGCTGTGAGTAGAGCCTCTGTGTGCCTTCTGGCTGTTCTTGGCAGGGGCCCATCACTCTTAGGTCGACATCCCAGGTCTAAGAGTTGCCTGGAGTTCTCCGAAATGGATGTTCTACACTCTGATCAGCTTGTGCAAAGTTTTTGTGAGTCTGTGAAGTTCTTGGAGACCCTGGCAGGTCTCTGCTTTTGTGGCAGGTGGCGTACTGTGGCGTTCTTTGTCCAGCACTCTGGATGGTGGCCACTTCTGTTGTTACCATACTCATACACATAAATAGCTTTTCAAACAGTGGTGAAAACATAGTTTCCTGCAGCCCATGCTAGCCTTGAACTTTCGGAGTACTTGGGGGTGGCCCTGAACTCAGGTCCTGATCAAGTGACCACTGCCCCACTCTGTTTATGTTACGCTGTGTAGAGAACCAAGCTGGGGATGTGTGTATGTTAGGCAAGAGGATTCCCAACTGCGGTGCCTCCCCACCCCAAACTGACTCTCTGGGTGATGCTTGCCTCTCCTGCAGGCCTGCACCGCTATGTCTGGCTGGTGTATGAACAAGACAAGCCACTGAACTGTGACGAACCCATCCTCAGCAACAGGTCAGGAGATCATCGCGGCAAGTTCAAGGTGGCGGCCTTCCGCAAGAAGTATCACCTGGGAGCCCCGGTGGCGGGCACATGTTACCAGGCGGAGTGGGACGACTATGTGCCCAAGCTGTATGAGCAGCTGTCTGGGAAATAGAGGAGCCGCGGAGGCCAGCGGTCCTGGGGACCCCCACAGTGTTGTCAAGATGTGCAATGCATGCTCCTTCTCCTCCTTCCTTCCCACCCCCTCGCAGGGAGTCCCGAGCTGTGCCAGGATAGAGGTGTAGGGTGACTTCCCGCTGCCCATCCTTAGGATTCTAATAACCGTATCCAGGTTTCTGTTTGCTCGAGTTTAGTCTCCATCTAGGAGGTGTTTGATGTTCTGATGGAGTCCTTGTATTGTTAATTTAAGATTTGCAACCCTGAAAAGTAAAGACACTCTGCTCCATGTGAGGGTGAGGGCTAGTGTTGTTCTGTACGTGGTTTGACAAGGACCCGCCCAGAACCAGGCGTGGTGGCATCTTCTGAGATGTGTTTTTAGAGTTCTGTCCCCAGCTGAGGCAACACAAGGCTTCCATCTCAGCTGGGGCAGGCGGCTGCACAGGTGCTGGTGTCCTGTAGCTCTGAAGAACGGGGCTACCGTGCTGAGACGAGGCCCCGGAGAGAGGGCTAAGCTTTGCTTCTCAGTAGTGTGAGCAAAAGTCCCTGGAGTTCCTAGGTGTGTTAATCTTGTCTGTACATCATCAAATAAAAATTAAGGCATTGGATTCAGGCATCCGGGTATTTTCTTCAGTGTGTCTGGGTTTCATGCATGGGTGGAGTTGAAGCACTCTGAGGCAAGCAGCAGTGCCATCTGGCCACGGGGAGTTTCTGCCACCCCTCTCTCACAGTGGGCAGTGGGAGCAGTGCTTACGGAGGAGGAAGAGTCAGAAGTGGTGGTGGTGCACGCCTTTCGTCCCAGCACTTGGGAGGCAAAGGCGGGGAGAGCTCTGTGAGTTCTAGGCCAGCCTGGTCTCCATAATGAGATCTTCTCTCAACAACAAAAAACCAAACTCCCAGGCTTCAGGCTGGCCTGGGAATGGTGGATCAGACCTGTATCCCCAGTATGTGGGAGGCTGAGCAGGCAAAGGCTAACCCCAGGACCCAGAGGTGGAAGGAGAAAACCGACCACAGCCAGTTGCAATCTTCCATCGATACATGCACGTTGGCACTGCGGACACTCAAACACAAATATATATAATTTTAAAATGTATCGAAAGAGAGAAATCAGCTGGCTTTGCTTCAGGCCTAGAAGCACCTTTGCTTTGGACAAGTTCTTCAAGGTCGAATCCCCTTACTGCTTTTGTACTCTTGCGACAGACTTGATCAGCAAGAGGTTTGTTTTGGCTTTCCCTTGGGTCTGTCACAGCAGGAGAAGCATAGCCAGGTGGCTTGGGCTGAGGTAGTGGCACTGTCTGATAAAGGGGTTCACATTCTAGCAGAGCCAAGAGCATGAGGTGGAACCAGCTGGGCTGGAACTCTCACTTCCTGCAGCCAGAAACCAGCTCTGAAAAGTTCACAGCCTTCCAGAACAGCTCTCCTATCTGTGCAAAGAATCGTGGGAGAGCCTGGTCAAATTCAGAACAGCCCATTGCTTCCTTAGGCGCCCGGGATGTGACCTGGGGCCCCTCTGCACTACCCACATTTTCCACCAGCCTTCCCCTTCGCTGTGGTAAAAGGCTGAGTCAGTGTTGCGGGAACATTCCCCTCCTCCCCCATGGGTCATCCACAGAGGGGTCAGAGGGCCAGGCGGAGGAGACTCCCAGCTCCTGCCCAGTGTCAGGTTCCTGTCACTGTGATTTGGGCTCATGGGGAAGGGTCTGAGGTTAGACCCCTTACTATTCTTGTATGGTGAGAAAGCCTTGTAGCATACCTCAGGCTGGCCTTGAACTCACAATCCTGCCTGTCTGGAACTACAGGCTTAGCTCACCTCCTAGTACTTCTTTGACACATGTTGAGACCATGACCTGATGGCTTCTGGGTGGGATAAGATTGGTAGATTTTTGTGGAAAATGTATTTTTAAAGTTAGTAAAAGTTATAAAAATGAATGATGGAATGCTCAAGAGATGGCTCAGAGGTTAGGAGCACCTACTGCTTTTCTAGAGGTCCTGAGTTCAACTCCCAGTAACCACAATGTGGCTTACAGCCATCTGTAATGAGAACTGGTGCCCTCTTCTGACCTGCAGCGCACATACAGACAGAACATTATACATAATTAATCTTAAAAAAAATGAATGATAGGGTTGGGGCGGAGCTCAGTGGTAGAATAGACGTGCACTTTGAATGTACGTGTGTACACCCCCTGGTTTGATCCCAGCACTGAAAAACACAGTACACACACAAGTGTACTCCCAAGAGTCCAACAGTGTGGAAAGAAAGTGCCTTCCATCTCAACAGGGTGTCTTGCTGGCAGTCCCTGGCGTAGGCTCTCTTCCAGAAGAAACAAAACATACCTTATCTTTCTATCCTTAAAAGTCTTGGCATGTACACTGGTAAACACTGTTAGGTACTTACTTAACAAAATTGTTTTGTTGTTTTGTTTTTGAGACAGGCTTTCTGTCACAGCCCTGGCTGTCCTGAAACTTGCTCTGTAGACCACGATTGCCTTGATTTCACCGAGATCTGCCTGCCTGTGCTTCCTGAGTGCTGGGATTAAAGGTGTGTGCCACCAGGCCCTGTTCAAAATTTTTTTAAAAAATATTTTCATTCTGTGTGTGTGTGTGTGTGTGTGTGAGTGTGTGTGTGTGTGTGTGTGTGCAGGTGCCTGTGGAGTCCAGAAGAGGGCGTCAGGTCCTGGAGCTGGAGTTGCAGGTGGTTGTAACCTACCTAATCTGGGTGTTGGGAACTGGACTCGGGTCCTATGCAAGAGCAGCATGCATTCCTAACCACTGAGCCTTCTCTCCAGCCTTTTCTTTAAAATAATAAAAAATTATTTTATTCGTCCATTTGTCCATCTACCATCTCCTGTGGGTGTACACACGTGCACATGCACACACACACACACACACACGTATACTACAGCACATGAAGATCAGAGTACAATTTGTGGGAGGTGATTCTTCCTACTCTGTGGGTCCTGGGATCAAAACTCAGATCGTCAGGTTTGGTGGCAAGTACCTTTATCTGCTAAGCCATCTCACCGACCCCAGGCACATATTTTCCCAAACACTAATTTATGCAGTGGTTCTCCAGGTGTGTAGCTCACATTGTGACCAGATACTTCACTTTACAGATGTTCACACCTCTGTAGGATTTTGTTTGTCTGGTTTCATTTATTCCTTTTCCTTTGCTGTTGTAAATAGCGCTTTGGCAAACGCCTTTCATACGTGTAGGGAGTACTTTGGCAAGTTAATTTTGGGGGGGGATTCCTAATATTGAACAATTGTTTCCACAGACCTGCATCCTTGCAGTTCTGATATATACAGAATGCCCTCCAGGAAGACAGCAGTGGTGTGTGAGTTCCTTCTCCACATTCGGGACAGTTTTACTGAACTTCAAACATTTTGACTTGGTATTTACGTGTATTTAAAATCATGTACTAGTTTTTCCTTTTACGTGATTTTTCATGTGATTTTTTTTTTTTTAATCACCAATTGCAAGATGCTTTGTTCTTTAAAAAGAGGTAACCAGGGCGAGGTCGCGCTCTGCTTCCTTGTCTAAACAAGTGTGGACGGGGGCCAGCAATATGGCTTAGTAGGTAAAGTCACCACCACCAAATCTGACTCGGAGGGCACCCACACTGTGGAAGGAAAGAACTGAGTCTCCACGGTTGTCCTCTGATCCCCATGTGTGGTCTGTGGCACACGTGGGCATGCAACATACACAAAATAAGAAACGCAACAAATGGGAGTGGGTCAAGAGCCCTGGCTGCTCTTCCAGAGGTCCTGGGTTCAGTTCCCAGCAACCACAGGGCAGCTCACAATCCGATACATGCAGGCAAGCACCTGTATACATAAAAAAAAAATCTTTAAAAAATGTAATAAATGATTAATCTGGACCTGATGGACATGCACGAACAAAGTCCAGAGGTTCAGGACAGTTCCCTGATTGCAGCCGTCCCAAAGAGTGTATAAGGGCTTGGAATGACACAGAGTACTAGTGACAGCAGTTTGGGGGTGCAGTCCACCATGGTCGGGGGCGGGGAGGCAATGGCAGCAGGAGTTTGAAGCAGTTGTTTCGTGACCTCTGCCGGCAGGAAGCTGAGAGAGATGAACGCTGGTGCTCGGCTCACTTCCTCCCTTCTGTTCACTTCAGGACCCCAGTCCGTGGCACGTGACATCCACAATTGGTGTGGATCTTCTCCGTTAAACTAGATGATCTCTTACAGGCGTGCCCAGAGGCTTGTCTCTTCTACGGATGATTCCAGGTTTCGTGGTAATATCAGCCATCACAACAGGTGTCTCAGCATGCAGCCCAGCTCGCAGTCCAGGATTACTTAAAATTTTATCCAGTTGGTGTGTGTGTCTGTGTGAATTTGCACATGCATGCATAACGTGTGGGTGTGCGTCACAGCATGCGTGTGGTCAGTGGACGACTTGGCGGAGTTGGTTTTCTCCTACCTGTTCAGGTATTGAACTCGTCACCAGGTTTGCGGAGCAAGCTCTTTGTTGCTGAGCCAACCATCTTGCTTGCCCACAGCCGGCCTGCCCACAGCCCAGTAGTATTTCTAAGGGTGGAATCTAGGACGTGCCTATCACTCTGACCTTATGAAGAAGGGAACATATGCCATGTCAATCAACCTGTCTGGAATTTCTTAATTCACCTCTAGGAAACAGAGGTCATCTATCGAAAGTCGGGCTAATATCTCGTCAGTGTTTAAACCCAACTGCATGCGGTTGAAGCCCGTCTGGATACCGGTGCAAAGTCAGGCAGTCTCGGTGTTGATTGGAAATTCCTGTGTGACTTACAGATAGTGCCCACAGGGTCTGGGAGGCTTTTGTAAATGGATTCCCGCAAGCCTCTTGACTCCTGCTCTCACTCACTCAGCTCCTACCTCGAGAGAGTGTCTCATAATTCCTTGAATTTGCCAGGCACTCCCAGATCTGGCCCTTCACACACTCATTTTTCTGCTCTCTCTGCTGACACTGATGACCCTTACAGTAACTGAGTGGGCTAGGTATTCCCAAGGCGCTGTGGCTGTGCTTCCATTGCCAGTTCAAAATGTGTGCGCTTATAGGTTTCTTTCCTTCCTCCCTTCTTTCCTTCCTTCCTCTTTCTTTCTTTCTTTCTTTCTTTCTTTCTTTCTCTCTTTCTCTCTCTCTCTCTCTCTCTCTCTCTCTCTCCCCCCCCCCCCCCCCTCCCCCCCCCCCCTCCCTCCCTCCCTCCCTCCCTCCCTCCCTTCCTTTCTAAGGCAGGGTGTTATATCTCTCAAGATGGCCTCAGACTCACACTTCCTATCCTTCAGCCCCGCCTCTCCGTTGCTGGGATTACAGGTGAATGCACAGCACGGCTCATGCAGTGCTGGGAGTGGAATCCAGGGTCTGCGCATGACATCTTTAGCCTCTGTATGCAGAGTTTTTTTTTTTTTTAATTGGTTTTTAAAAAGGTTATTTAAAAATATGTCTATGTATGGGTCTGTTTCTGTGTGCTGGTATATGCATGTAAGTGCAGTGCCTATGGCAGGAGGGTATTGGGTTCTCTGGAGCTGTGTGTGTTATATGTATATATGTATGTATGTATGTATGTATGTATGTATTTAAATTTCATGTTTAGGAGGTAGTACCCTTCAGAAAGTCAAGGACTGCAAATGTGACCTGTGGAGGCATGGCTCAGTGGCAGAGTGCCTACAGAACGTATGCAAGGCCCTCGGTTTTTCCCCTAGCACGAGAGGAAAAGAAAACAAAACCAAACGCCTACCGAACAACACTAAGAAACCGAAATGCCCAGCAGCAGAGGGTAGTTCATGTGTCCTGAAGTCTCCTAGATGACTGAGAAGGGATTCTTGGGTTTAGGGGCCTTGTTTATTTATTTTCTCTCTGTTTTGAGATGGAATCTAAGAGCATAGCCCAGGTTGGCTCTGGCCAGATTGGCATCTGTAGCCCAGGTTGGCTCCGGGCGGATCTGCTCCTGCCTCTTTTCCACATGGACTTCTGTGTCCATAGGATTCCTTACCAGTCACGTGTCAACAGCACTAATGTGAGTGTGTGTCACTGTGAGGCACATTGACACATCTCAGGCATCTGGGATAGGCACTCAGGAAGCAGCCTCAATAATCACAGGACAAGGCTTTTTACCAGGTATGCCTTAGCTATATGCATGACAACTCACTTTTTAAAGAATTGCTTTGGGGCCGGGCGCCTTTAATCCCAGCACTTGGGAGGCAGAGGCAGGAGGATCTCTGTGAGTTCAAGGCCATCCTGGTCTACAGAGTGAGTTCCAGGACAGGCTCCAAAGCTACAGAGAAACCCTGTCTCAAAAAACCAAAACAAAAAAAAATTGCTTTGGGTGCTCACACGTGTATGCACATGCTATGATGCACACGTAGAGGTCAGAGTGCAGCTTACAAGAGTGGGTTGTTGTCTTTCATCATGTGGGCTCCAGGGTTTGAACCCCTGCTATCAGGTTTGGTTGCAAGCATCTTTTACCCACTCAGCCATTTTGCCAGCCCGTAAACCTGTTACACAATCCGTTTTAAACTCAAGGGAGTTTACTACCCGCTGGGAAGGAGGGCACTGGCTCTTTGCCTCATCCTTATGTTTCTTCCAACATCAGTGTGCGGACCATAAACACTATGGTTGGCTCGGCAGCTGCTACCAGGGCTTCACGGAGGAGATAATTAGTAACTACTTGTAATTTTACACTTGTCACAGTGAGACCGACAGGTTACAGATGCTCTTGATGACTCCCTTTTAGGATCCAAGAATGGTCCTTAGGTCCTCATTCAAAAGAGCAATGTTGGCAGGTGCTGGGGGCAGGGGCAAGGACAGGGGCTGGGGCTGGGACAGGGGCTGGGACAGGGGCAGGAGCTGGGGCAGGGGTTGGGGCAGGAGCTGGGACAGGGGCTGGGGCAGGGGCTGGGGCTGGGGCAGGGGCAGGAGCTGGGACAGGGGCTGGGGCAGGGGCTGGGGCTGGGGCAGG